ACTTTTTATTGTTCTTCTAAAAAACATCATCAATGCTTAATTCACTTAGTAATGAGTTGCTTAAGTATATTCCACTAAACAACTGGGTTGGTGAGTACAACACGACATGCACCAACTGAATCACACTAGGAAGAGAAGATTTGGAAGATGTGGGAACATTGACCTGTTTGGGTAGCAACGTCAATAAACAAGGTTGATCTGATGCCGATCTAAAGACACGAATTAACAAAGCAAGGGCAGTTTTCTATAATTGAAGAACATCTGGAACTCAAAATAACTATCAACCAACACCAAAGTCAGAATTGGTTTGAAAGAAAGGAGAAATGTATGGAAAAAATGACATTTCACTTAATTATGAGCTTAGTTACTGACAAACGCAACCTACAATTATAGGTTAAAACCAATCAAGGCAATGATTCTCACAATCTTAAAGAATCTCTAACCTTATTAACCTTAAAATGAGAGATACAAAAGGTTGAAAATAAACTTGAATACTGTGAACAACCTTCTATTGTGTTGTTTTATTAGAACTTTGAAGATATGCAAGTGAGAAATATCCAAAAAAGTAACCGTTGAAGTTAAATCAATTGAAATACATTAACCAGAATAGAATATCGAACTTTTCTAATATAAAACCCAGTTGGTTATCGAAGCATCAAAAAAGTTTGAGCGAGTATTGGTCTCACTATCTATAACTCCAGTTTTTTTTACTGTGTTCTTTCAAATAGAAAAATGCCAATAACAGTATGTAAATGAGGTAAAAACTTGAAAATCCATTAGAAGGATGGTTTTTGAGATATTGAATCGTTAACATATGTCGTGAAAAAACTACACTACTCAAAGATGTTATAAGTAGCCATATTATATTCACCTGATTTGCATCATGTAGTAGATAATTGATGCGGCAATCAACTATTTTCCTGTCAAACATTCTTGTTTAACAACAGAACAAGCTGTTAGTCGCCTATGAAGAAATTCACAAAACTTCGATAGAGACAATAAAAAACTCAGTTCAGTGAACACAAAAACGATGTAGTATTTTTAAGCTTTAACAACAGCAGATTATAACCTATTGCATAAACTTATAATCAGATTCTGTGTTATTTCTTACTAAATAATTAGATACTTCATCCAAGCATTCAGTGATTACTTACTTACTTACTTACTTACGCCTGTTATCCTCAATGGAGCATAGGCCGCCGACCAGTTTTCTCCAACAAACTCTGTCCTGGGCTTCCCTTTCCAGTTCTGTCCAAATTTTGTTCAATCTTCCCATGTCTTTCTCTATTTCTCGGCGTAATATGTTCCTTGGGTGTGAACCCAAGGGTGAGAGTAAGCAACCTTGCCTAACACCGGTCTTCACTTCAAACGAGTTTGTCAGCTGACCTTCGTGCACGATTTTGCAGTTTAATTCATCGTAAGGATTCCGTATGATGTTGACTATCTTCTCAGGCACGCTGTACTGTCGAAGAGGCCTCCATGGTGTTTTCCTGTCCATGCTATCGGATGCTTTCTCGTAGTCGATGGAGTTGATGTAGAGTGGTGGGTTCCACAATGATCCGTAATGTAGCAATTTGGTCAGTACACGATCGATCCTTACGAAATCCAGCCTGTTGATCTCGAAGTTGGGCGTCTACGAAGTTCTTCATTCTGTTTAACAATACCCTGTTGAAGACTTTGCCTGGTATTGAAAGAAGAGTGATGCCTCTGTAGTTCTCACACTTGCTGAGATCGCCTTTCTTTGGTATTTTGATCAGGTATCCTTCTTTCCAATCTGATAGTACTTGTTCTTCATCCCAAATCTTGTTGAAGAGGATGTGAAATATTTTCGCAGTTGCTTCTACATCTGATTTCATTGCCTCTGCTGGAATGTTGTCTGGTCCTACTGATTTGCCACTCTTGATTTGTCTGATGGCCATACTGATCTCCTCAATTGTAGGTGCGCCAACACCGATTGGGAGGTCCGTAGATGCTGCTTCGATGTTGGGTGGGTTGAGTGGAGCTGGTCGATTCAGGAGTTCCTGAAAGTGCTCTACCCACCTATTTCGCTGTTCTTCAGTGTTGCTGATTACTTTGCCTTCCTTGCTTTTCACTGGTCGTTCTGGTTTACGATAGTTCCCGGCGAGCTATTTTTGTTGTTTCGTACAATTGTCTCAAGTTTCCTTCTCCTGCAGCCTTTTCCGCCGTCATTGCTAGATCTTCCACATATTTTCGTTTGTCAGCTCTGATGCTCTTCTTCACTTCCTCCTTTCTTCAATTTTTTCATGAGTACCAACAGACATCCATTCCTTGTGATGGTACTTCTTGTGACCCAGAACTTCGTGACATGTAGAAGTGATTGCCTCCTTGATCCCTTTCCAATTGTTCTCCAATGTTGCTTCCTCTCCATTGATTATATCGTGCAAGGCCTGGAACCTATTGGTGAGGGCTATCTTGAATTCATTGAGTTTTACGGTATCCCGAAGAAAGGCCGTACTAGACTTCTGTGATGTTGTCTGCCCCGTTTTCCAGTGTTTCTTTAGTTTCAGTTTCATTTTGGCGACCAGCAAGTGGTGATCTGACTGCAGACTATCGTAGAATTGATCTTTATCGTCGTCATTGTAGTCGTTGGTAGGTGCATAGCATTGGATGACGTTCATTGTAATGTCCTCTTTCTTTGTTTAGAAGGATGCTTTAATGATCCTCGGTCCATGAGATTCCCATCATATCAGTGCATTTTGTGCTTGTTTGGACAGCATTAGTGCAACTCCTTGTGTATGTGAAGCATTTTTCTCTTCATGACCAGAGTATAACAGCAGTTCCCCTGAAGCTAGTCTCAGTTGTCCTACCTGTGTCCAGTGCGTTTCGCTGATTCCAACCACATCCAGGTTGAATCTTCTCATTTGTGCAGCAACTTGAAATAGTCTTCCAGTCTCTCACAATGTTTGAACGTTCCGTGTACCTAAAAAACGGTTGCTCTGGTTGTCAGAAGAGGCATCGGCCTCGTGACCTCCGACGGAACTCAACTTCATCAAGAGACGTCACAATTCTTCTTCCAACTCCCTGGGCAGAGTTAAAATGGTTTGAATTATTGTTTCTGGTTAGCGTTTTTTAGCGAGTTAGTTTTCTACAGGATGGGGTCGCCAATCCCATGCCCAACCCTCCTCCTTGATCCAAGCTGGGGTTCGACAGTAGCTTCACAGGGGCTCCAGGAAGAGTTTTTGTGTCAAACGTCAACTACTTATTCATTGAGCTATTAAATCTCAATAATTATTAACTTGCTCAAAGAGTAAATTCGTTCATATAACATGATTGATAAAGGTATGGGATTCTCTTATCACAAAGAATAGCCCCATAGTTGTTCTTGGCGAAGAAATCGAATTCGTTTATTGTCAGCAATTTTATGTTCTACTAATATGTTTAACAGCTTATGTATAATGATTGATCAGTGATCTCGTTTCATTCTTTGAGCTGGATTTTTTATTGTGTGGTGCTTTCATTGTTCATTGATCCTTTTTTCAGTTTCTAGTCATTAAATTATTTTTGCATTTAAACTTTGTTCACTCTCGTTTAAGTTGAAATAAATTGTTTTTAAAAATATATGTTTATTGTGTGAATCAGTTGTATATTTAATACCACCAACGTGTTCACTTGATTCGATGTATCAAGGATATGGATTCAGTGAGGCTTTTTCAGATGAAACGTATATTGTTTTTTGGAATCATTCGAGTGTTTTTACTGCTGAAATAAATTACTAGTTCATTTATTCTTAGATCTTTTTCAGTCTTGAAATACATGTTCTTTTTAAAATAATATTAATTATCCTAATGGTTGAGAGTATTTTTTATTCTACTAGTTAATTTATTTGCACAATAATGATGGCAATAAGATATTTTTAAATGAATTTTTTCTTTTGTTATAAGTACATAAGTAAGCACTAGAGAGTTATTTTATCCTCATATGAAATTTCTTAACACTGTACATCTACAACTCCACCGCGAATCGAAATCAGACCCTTTCAGTCTTGCCCTAATTTCCTAATCTGTTATACACCAGTTAGATAGATACGTGTAGATAAATACATTCTCCACAATTCAATGTACATAATACAAATGTAAGCTATTTCTTTTAGAATATTTGTTTATATCAGATCCATTTTCTAATCATCTGTTATTTATATTTTTCTCTATATAAGCATACATAGTATGCAAATAGCTAGTTGAATTTGTTAATCATAGTTATCTTACTGGTCATGATAATTGTCGTACTCATTAGTGTTTAAAGAAACAATCTATTTTCATCCATTATGTCTGTAACGAGAAAACAAGAAATCTGTATAAAAAGCAAATTAATCTTTAATTGTTCTTATCTTCCCATTGATATTCAAAACTGTAAATGACTTGTTATTTTTGAGATATAAACGTCCTGAGTTTATTTCCCGGATTACTGTCAGGAATCTACAAATATTTCCTTAAAGTTTAACTATAGTTAACAATCGAATCAGGATACTTGTTAGTTCGATGTAACATTTGCATCCCATTGTTAATATTCACTGAATGACACTCAAAAGAAAGTGAATGTTTTAAGCGAAAGATGGTGCTGGTTCCGAGTCCTGTTGTGAATTTCTATACTGAAATATAGATAGAGCTAATTGACACGTCCAAATATAAAATGAAATGAGTGTCGGTTTGCAATGTCGTTTGAAAGGAGTTTTAAAATTGAAAACGTGTAACTACATAACATTCAATTGCAAATTGGCTGACTGTTTATCTGGATATTTTATACTCTTTGCGTGATATCTTCACAAGATATTTAAGTTGACATCTTAAAACACTTGGTGCTAACGTCAAACATTAATCACATTCCAGACAACCACTAAGTTGAACTGATGCGATCGGTGCCAAATAAGATAAAACCTGCATCATGCATCGCACCGTCAGTTTATTTTGCTGTAAGTTTTCGTTTTTAATGTTTCTAAATAAATTAAAATGACTCTATTTTTTCTGTAAATTTCTTTCAAGATGTCCATCACTCCTTCGTTTATTTCTACGTATATTGGAATCAAATTTATTAGCATCTAGATCATATTGGGCGCATAGACTTGTTGATAGAGTTCAATCTATGCGTGGAACAACGTTTCCGAATTCAACTGGATATAATACTCAGTCAACATCTGTGCCAACAACAATGATGATGCTTTCTTCAATAAATTTAGCCATTTCATCAAATAGTGGAACATCATCATCAAACTCTTCCATTTCTAGCATGAATATTGATTTATTAAATCATGATACATCGAGTTTAGCTATAAACTATTCGAAATTTGTCGGTTCTTCCAAATTAACTGTAACTGATTTAAGTCAACAACAACAGGCTAGCAGCATATCTACTTTTACTTTAACGACATCGTCGACATCGACTACTACTACTACTGCACCTCTTACATCAACCAATACTACTACTTCTATTTCTAGTACCATACCATCTGAACAGATGTTCAATGAGTCTAAAGTAAATAGTTCACCCCAATCAATGATAGCAGTGAATAATGAAGAATATGAACGCCTGTGTACAAATATGTTATTAACACAAGATTCAACGATTATTCAGTTATTACTTGAATACTGTTTACCGACAGAAGATGAAAAAGTAAATCGATTTTTTTTTCTAATTATTTCCTTCTTAGGTTGTTTTTTTTCAAACTTCTTTATTGATACAATTAATCATTGACAATTTCCCGTAAATTGATTAAAATCTAATGGAATATTGATTTTCATTGAATAAACTGATGGTAATCTAAAATTATGACAAAATAATTCATAATAATAATAATAATAATAATAATATATCCTACTTTTTTTTCATTTTTTTCTTTATATCGAAACGTTTGTTTCTCTCCTTTTAAATTCAGGCGGACACTTTTTCATTTGTTGTCTTTATGTTATAAGCAATGTTAGCGCAACGCATTAAAAATAATATTTATCGGCTGTATGCTGTAATGTCTCTGTTTTTGATCCAGCTAACGATGATTTACATCTTAAAAGGGGAAATATAATCATTAAAAATCAGTATATTTCATAGGATCTGAATGAAACGATAAAAAAATATTAGAATTTCGTTATTTGTGTTAAAAATTCATTATTTTGAAGAGAAATATTTTTACGTTCTTTGTTGAATGTTATGCTCAAACCTAACTAGTCAAATGTTTTCGAAATTAAATTTTTTTAATGTGTCAGACGTTGTCAAACCTTAATAATAATAATAATAATAATGATAAGAAGAAGAAGAAGAATTGAGTACTTACTTGGTATGTTCATAATATAAAAAAAATTCAGTTAAATGATATCTGTAATAGTGTTTAATTATACTTTTCAATGATAGTCTGTTAATTTGTCGTAGTTAATGAGAAACACAGCAATTACAAATGAATCACTTAATTGCCCTCTAAGTTTTGTTATAGAGTTAAGATCCAAATATGCCCTTCGTATTGTTTGTTTGTTTCTAAATATATATATTAACATGTATTTAAACCGTTATCTTAACCTTATAAACAGTTATCAATTAAAATTATAATCTCTGATCACAGTCAGAATCTTAGTTTTATATAATCCGATAAACGCCATCGTAGATTAGTGAATGTGTCATGAAAATAACCATGAAATCCAGGTCGGTGTCATTTGTCCCGTCCAAAGTGCACCGAAATTCTTGCAACTAACTTTTCAGCTATTCTTATTCAGAGATATTATAGAATTTTTTACACCCGATTAAATTTGTTCGAACACGCATACACGTTTCTCGTATGTTTGTCAATATAAGACTACACAGGCTGTGTTACGTTTCTGTTTAGTAGTTAGGCTATCATTACAATATACACCAGCAACTCTCTCTCTCTCACACACACGTAAACACATTAGTGTCATAGATGATCCTAATCAAAATCGATTATTTCTGCTTTATATTTAATTACTAATACTACTTACGACTACCTTAGCCCGTTTTGAGGAAATTTGTTTATGATAATATAACAATTTCTTTTTCCTTCCTGTCTTATATTTAGAAACTTGAATCAGAAATTAGTATTCTTCGTGAAATACGTATTATAGTTTGCACATTTATCCATTCATTATTCATTGCTCAACCGGTACTGGCAGAGATTATTGTTTGGCAAGTAAGTGGGTTGATTTGAAAACATTTATTTCGACATTCACCCTATTCATTGTAGTATTTATTTGTTTTAAGTAATATGAATCGATAATTTTTTATCTGTTGAGTAAATCAATTGAAGACTGAATGATAAACTTGCTAGATTCTAGTTTGTCTCTTAAATTAAAGTATTCATTATTAAAAACTTTTTCACACAGTCAAACAAGTTAACATCATAATTTTTAACTGAGATCAAGCTTAACTACTTCACTCTCTATCACTAGTTCAGGCGCAAACACAAGCTTATCCCAAATTTGCACTTTACATTTGGAGGAGGAGAACCGCATCCCGAACACGCTTGCATTGTTGCTTAGGGTAGTCAGCGTCTTCATTAAATAGAACTCTGTCATCGTCATACTCCAATTCAACAGGTGAGTATCTTGGTAGAAGTTCCACCTCTGAAAAGTCAGATGAAGATAATGTTAACACTAAAAGCATGTTTACAATAAAGTTAAGTAAAAATGGGGAAGATGGTCAATCCTGACGAACACCACTTGAAGTAATCAATTCCGATAACGGTTCGTCATAAACTTTGACTCGGCCAATAGTGTTTGAGTAGAGAGCCTGTAAAATGTTAATGTACATTTTGGTACTCCTTTCAATGGCAAATACTGGAAATTTTGAATTCTTTTGATAAAGTCTTAACATACTAGGTCTGAAGTGTAACATGGCCATCTTTGCACCACATTAAAGGCTAAAATATATATCCTCAAGCTTTGGTTTTCATTTGAAATTTCTAAAAAAAATGTATTTCCTCATTTCAACATTGCAGTTTTGCACAAAATTAAGTGCTATCTCTCACACTGTTTTTTGTCTTAAAGCAATTAATTGCATATCATGATTAAAATATCCTTCGTGCTGTTTTATTGTGAAATAAAGCCAGAGATATGGTATTTTGGAAGATTATCATGATTGAGGTCGTATTCATTCACACACATATGTACTCGCTCACTGTTCTCACAAATTTTCCTGAATTGAGGCAAAATAAGAAAAAAGAGAGAGAGAACAATGAGCGATATAGAAAAGTCAGATTATTTTATATGGAAAGAACTAAAATTAACTAAGTGTCTAACTTTTGTTCACTTGTTGTGTATCACACGTATTCAATTATATGTTTCTTAAGGTTTTTTGATAAGTGGATACATGCGTGTGGGGTGTAGGAGATAGGATGAAGTTAATAAACTACTTGAATCTACACTACTTGTTTTTTATAGCTTATTTTGTATATTTCTATAATATGCTGATTTGTGCAGATATACACCTAACTATAATTCTAATCATTCATTTCTACCGACTGTATTCTAAATGTACCGCTCCACTGATAGGTTTTTTTTTCGAGTATCTGTGAGGAATCGCATTTGTCATTAAAGCCTACGTAAAATGACAAATAACAATTGGTGCTTAGAATAAGAAGCCGAAATTTACACGATACAAAAAGAGATGAGAAATACTGTTGACAGATGAAAATGTTTACTCACCGTGTTAAAAACACTATAACCTCTTATTAACGTAACTGAAGGTTCTCATTTATAGACAAATTTTTTTATCCACTAACATTCAATGTTTTGTTAGCATTGAATCAATGCAAACAAGGGCTGAACTTACCCCTGATGAAACATAGGCGGCCAACCAGGATTCTGCAACCTATCCTGGGCCTTCCTATCCAGCTGAACATATATACGACATTAAATCAATACGAAAGAAAACTATTCCGAACAAATTGCTCCTCTTCAAAAGTTTGCGAGTGCCAGCTTACTAAAACTGTCTAGATTTAAAACACAGAAGGAAAATATTTTAGTGACCCGTAATCTGACTCGAATTTGGATGAATAACTCTATTTCATGCACTCATTCATGCAGACAGACATGCGAATGAAAAGCTTACAAGCAAAGCTCAGCGAAGTGGAGAAGGCGAGTAAGCCTAATCAATAAGATAAAGCAGTGACTAAGTATTTATAGTCAGGTAAAAAAAAAATAAGCTAAACATGTATTAAGCGCGGTAAGCATTTACACACACTCAAATAAAAGTAACCAAGGTATGTGCGAATAATAGACAAGGTTGAAAGATATGTGAACAACTCGAGAAAAATGAATCAATTAAATTGTCCAAAGGCTTTAAGACAAGGTCTGTGGGCTGGACATATTTCTACATACTACAATATCTAAAGGTAAATTAATATAAGAAGACGAAAATATATCGAAACTAATCTAATGTTTATTATTAATATTTCAGAATCGCCAATATATTTTATGCTGATGATTGGCAGTTAGTTAACACAAAACCTTTTATGTCAAAAAAACATTTTCTGCCGACTATTTTCAAATTTCAAAGTGATGAGTTTTTTGTCTTCAGTTTTCATAGCCAAGTTGTACTGATGAATAGTATTTATTTTCACCAATTATTGTGTTAATTATCGACTTGTTTCTCTAAATTTTCTTTTTGACAATATGATTTATTGCAATTGCACAGTTATACGTGTATTTGTAGTTGTAATAATAATTTGACTGTTTCATTTAATAAACAAATAAATAGATGTCATTCAGACGAAAATTTTCTTGACACTGTGAAATAGTCTTTATTGCTTTTTCTCAATTCAGTGATACAAACATAGTAGGCTTCTGTGGGCGTGAAAAATTTCCTCTCATTTATCTCTATTCTCTTTATTTTTCCCTCTTCTCTCTATACAATATAATATTTCATTATTTTTACTTAGACGTATCCTCGTGCATTGATTCCTATAAGTGCTCAAGCCATCCCATCATTACATATCTGTTTAGATACAGTTATTGATGTATTTCGAATGAGTGGAGATTATTCCAAAATGGTAAGTTAGAATCTATTTTCCCTTCTGCTTTCTTATTGACTTATTTTCCAGTAATTCGTTCTGATTAGCTTACAGTTGAATATATATATATATATATATATATATATATATATATATCTGCTTATCGTTTATTGGTTAATTATATACATATGTATATATTTATTTAAGTGCTTACTATCAGTAGTATTATTATTACTGACGATATTGATCAAATAAACGTCGATGATTTCCGTATAATCTGTTTGCTGGAAAAGATTATTTTCGTTTTAATTATGAGAATCAAATATGCTTATTTAAACATCCGATTTGTTTTAGTTTTCGTGTTCAAATCAGTATGAAAAGTGATTTTTTGGGTTCTTTGTACGCATTTGTATTAATTGTGGTTATTAAACAGAAAAAATATAAGCCGATATTCTCAACCATTTTGAATGAATTCTCATTGATACCAGTCTAGACAAATGGCCTTAGTGTAGTTAATTATTGTGACTAGCAGTGAAATTTAGGATGCGCATGACTCTTTGTTTACAACTCATCAACTGCGAGTATCTGTATTCACACTAGTACTTCAATCCAGTCAGTCACCATTCTCTTCAAGCTCGTTCGAAGGGAAGACCGGTGTCAGGCAAGGTTGCTTACTTACACCCTTTCTCTTTCTGCTGTTGATCGACTGAATTATGAAGACGTCAACACTTGGAGGGAAGCACGGGATACTGTGGACAGCTAGGACGCAGCTGGACGATCTGGACTTCGCAGATGACCTGGCTCTTCTATCGCACATGCAACAACAAATGCAAGAAAAGATGACCAGTGTAGCAGCAGGTCTCAACATACATAAAGAAAAAAGTAAGATTCTGCGATACAACACAACATGCACCAAACAAATCACTCTTGATGGAGATTCTTAGGAGGACGTTAACAGCTTTACATATCTTGGCAGTATCATCGACAACCAAGGTGGATCCGATGCAGATGTGAGGGCGCGGATCGGCAAAGCAAGGGCTGCATTTCTACAATTGAAAAATATCTGGAACTCCAAACAAATGTCAATCAACACCAAAGTCAGGATTTTTAATACAAATGTCAAGAAAGTTCTACTGTATGGAGCGGAAACATGGAGAACTACCAAACCCATCATCCAGAAGATACAAGTATGTATGAGCAGTTGTCTACGCAAAATACTTCGGATTGGTTAGTCAGACGCTATCAGCAACATCCTACTGTGGGAGAGAACAAACCAGATTCCAGAGGAGGGAGACATCAGAAAGAAGTGGTGAAAGTGAATAAGACACACTGCGAAAAGTACCGAACTGAGATACAAGACAAGCCTTCACATGGAACCCTCAAGGTAAAAGGAAAAGAGGAAGGCCAAGGATCACATTACGCCGAATAATGGAGACAGAAATGAGAAATATGAACAGCGATGGATAGGACTGAAAAATAAAGCCCTAGACAGAGTAGGTTGGAGAATGCTGGTCGGTAGTCTATGCTCTACTAGGGGTAAAAGGCGTCAGTAACTAAGTAATTATCTCTTGTTTTGTGATCTATATAAGTCGTATTGACCACGATAAAACCATTTGTAATTAGTAACTGAACAAGCATGAAAATGTCCCTTCTTAGAACTTTTATCAATATAACCTACTGCTTCCAAACATTTATATTGATAAATCCAAAATCGACTGCTACTGCTTCATGCTACTGTATGTTACACCACTAGTTGCAGTGATCGGTTTGGGTCAAATTATCAACTGATTTCAAAATTTTAAATCTTATGGAATTTATTAAAGTTTGGTTAGTTGTTAGCAATGTAGTCAAGTACGTGCGTTTCGTCCTGTTTGAGATTCGTCAGGGAAATATGTCTGCATCTCAATGTTGAGATTCACATCTGTAGTCCATCCCGTTTAGCACATGCCATTGCAAATACTAACGTATTATTCACCAATCTACTGAGTGGAAGTCTTGTGTACTTTTGATCCCCCAGATTCAGTATTTTTCAGAGAAAGATATATTTGTCTTAGCGTTTGCTATTTATTGCAGTCATCAGCTCTAATTAAGAACTGTCGATTTTTGTAATCGTAAGCATGAATAGAAACGTTTTCCTTGATGAAGTTCTGTAGTTTCTCATTTACTTGAGGGTAAATGAAACAATAATTATTCATAAACTTTTGTCTTGTTTGCTTAAATATATGTTTACTTGAGGATAATTTTTATTACAAAGTGTTGCGTAAACATTTTTACGGCATCGATTAACTCAAGTTGAACCATTAAATACCGGAGTACTCTGGATAACTATTTTGCTGTACTATCTGCCACAATACGCATGCATAACTGCACTAGATATTAAATTCAAATACCTTGAAACCTCAAAGTAGACACTAGACTTTCAAATTACTTCAGTCGATTCCCGATATTATACGATTATCATTCCTTACTACGATTTGTACAAATACGTAAAAAAAATAGACGATTTCAGCTTACTTAAAAACTTGTTTGACCTAAGACGTCCGTTTGTTACACATCTGGCAGAACGCATTTTCCATGTAATCACATCAATGGGTACGATACCGTTAGGATTGTGTTCATCTGAATGTATTTTGCTGTAATCCTCTGAATTTTAATCTATCACTGTATACTTCAAATAGTTTGATTCAGTAACAAATTCTCGCAGGAAAACCAATACTTTTGGCATATCTGTACGTAAATATGATGTTGATAATTAAATTTGGACAAAATTCTTTTGTTAATATCAAAATAAAATGTGAACGTCAATCTCAATCATCATCTCTATATTTAATTATATTATAAATAGTAAACTTTTCTTTATTTCCAGTGATCTATATCTAAAGTTTTTAATAAATAAATACTACTTGTCTCTTCTTGTAAGGATGTTGTTAAGACTTTTATTTGAAGAGGAAAAAGGGGAGCTGAACAAAGGTTCTTTTAAACAGGGAGGAAATCTGTAATTTTTTCACTATTGTTTCTTTCTCTTTTCGCTACACGTGCAAGAAAGGATGTGTGTATGTGTATGTAGTATAATATATCTTCTAACGTTTCATGCCTGTTAAACATCAAATGTCAAAGAAATTTGTTTATTTTAAATTTTGTAACTCATATTTTTTTGTTTCTTTTTGTCATTGTTGTCATGTCACTGATTTTGAGAAAAAGTAAACGAAAAATTCATCAAAGACTAGTTTTTGTACATGGTTATACTAGATTTATATAAAGTATGGTTAGATGTAGATATGTGTATGACAGTAAACAAATGATTTATATATATCTAAAATACAGCAACTACAACAAAGTACCAGTTCAGTTATATAGTTTCATCAAATTTCTTAAATGAAGCTTATATATATATATATATATATATATATATATATATATATATATATTGTATACTCAACGTTATCAGTAAATCGAAGATGAAACAGCTATGAATTAGTGCATCTTCATCAGTTTAGGCGGTTGGACATGTGTTACTCATGCATAACCACCGACTGTCTCGACGAGCTATGTTGTCTGATATAGCAATAAGGCTATGAAAAAGCGGTCGAACCAAAACATGGGACGAATCCATAGATTCACTGACTAGTGGACTAAGCTTTGTTAATAGCTGTAGACTACTTGGTTGGTTAGAGACCCTGAATGACATGGCTGAAAATCGTTTGCGATCGCGCAGGTGCATCCATTCTTTATCTTCTCTTAAATGCTAATCATCTGAATTACTAGTTACCTTTATTCTCTTTTTAAATATGTTTCACTGGGTTATCTTCGGAAGCTAATCTTTGTGATAAGAGAATCCCATACCTTTATCAATCATGTTATATGAACGAATTTACTCTTTGAGCAAGTTAATAATTATTGAGATTTAATAGCTCAATGAATAAGTAGTTGACGTTTGACACAAAAACTCTTCCTGGAGCCCCTGTGAAGCTACTGTCGAACCCCAGCTTGGATCAAGGAGGAGGGTTGGGCATGGGATTGGCGACCCCATCCTGTAGAAAACTAACTCGCTAAAAAACGCTAACCAGAAACAATAATTCAAACCATTTTAACTCTGCCCAGGGAGTTGGAAGAAGAATTGTGACGTCTCTTGATGAAGTTGAGTTCCGTCGGAGGTCACGAGGCCGATGCCTCTTCTGACAACCAGAGCAACCGTTTTTTAGGTACACGGAACGTTCAAACATTGTGAGAGACTGGAAGACTATTTCAAGTTGCTGCACAAATGAGAAGATTCAACCTGGATGTGGTTGGAATCAGCGAAACGCACTGGACACAGGTAGGACAACTGAGACTAGCTTCAGGGGAACTGCTGTTATACTCTGGTCATGAAGAGAAAAATGCTTCACATACACAAGGAGTTGCATCGATGCTGTCCAAACATGCACAAAAGGCACTGATGGGATGGGAATCTCAAGCACCCAGGATGATTAAAGCATCCTTCTAAACAAAGAAAAAATACATTGCAATGAACGTCATCCAATGCTATGCGCCAAACAAACGAATACAATGACGAAGATAAAGATCGATTATGCGAGAGGCTGCAGTCAGATCACCACTTGCTGGTCGCCAAAATGAAACTGAAACTAAAGAAACACTGGAAAACGGGGCAGACAACATCACAGAAGTCTAGTACGGCCTTTCTTCGGGATACCGTAAAACTCAATGAATTCAAGATAGCCCTCACCAATAGGTTCCAGGCCTTGCACGATATAATCAATGGAGAGGAAGCAACATTGGAGAACAATTGGAAAGGGATCAAGGAGGCAATCACTTCTACATGTCACGAAGTTCTGGGTCACAAGAAGTACCATCACAAGGAATGGATGTCTGTTGGTACTCATGAAAAAATTGAAGAAAGGAGGAAGTGAAGAAGAGCATCAGAGCTGACAAACGAAAATATGTGGAAGATCTAGCAATGACGGCGGAAAAGGCTGCAGGAGAAGGAAACTTGAGACAATTGTACGAAACAACAAAGAAGCTCGCCGGGAACTATCGTAAACCAGAACGACCAGTGAAAAGCAAGGAAGGCAAAGTAATCAGCAACACTGAAGAACAGCGAAATAGGTGGGTAGAGCACTTTCAGGAACTCCTGAATCGACCAGCTCCACTCAACCCACCCAACATCGAAGCAGCATCTACGGACCTCCCAATCGGTGTTGGCGCACCTACAATTGAGGAGATCAGTATGGCCATCAGACAAATCAAGAGTGGCAAATCAGTAGGACCAGACAACATTCCAGCAGAGGCAATGAAATCAGATGTAGAAGCAACTGCGAAAATATTTCACATCCTCTTCAACAAGATTTGGGATGAAGAACAAGTACTATCAGATTGGAAAGAAGGATACCTGATCAAAATACCAAAGAAAGGCGATCTCAGCAAGTGTGAGAACTACAGAGGCATCACTCTTCTTTCAATACCAGGCAAAGTCTTCAACAGGGTATTGTTAAACAGAATGAAGAACTTCGTAGACGCCCAACTTCGAGATCAACAGGCTGGATTTCGTAAGGATCGATCGTGTACTGACCAAATTGCTACATTACGGATCATTGTGGAACCCACCACTCTACATCAACTCCATCGACTACGAGAAAGCATCCGATAGCATGGACAGGAAAACACCATGGAGGCTTCTTCGACAGTACAGCGTGCCTGAGAAGATAGTCAACATCATACGGAATCCTTACGATGAATTAAACTGCAAAATCGTGCACGAAGGTCAGCTGACAAACTCGTTTGAAGTGAAGACCGGTGTTAGGCAAGGTTGCTTACTCTCACCCTTGGGTTCACACCCAAGGAACATATTACGCCGAGAAATAGAGAAAGACATGGGAAGATTGAACAAAATTTGGACAGAACTGGAAAGGGAAGCCCAGGACAGAGTTTGTTGGAGAAAACTGGTCGGCGGCCTATGCTCCATTGAGGATAACAGGCGTAAGTAAGTAAGTAAGTAAGTAATCACTGAATGCTTGGATGAAGTATCTAATTATTTAGTAAGAAATAACACAGAATCTGATTATAAGTTTATGCAATAGGTTATAATCTGCTGTTGTTAAAGCTTAAAAATACTACATCGTTTTTGTGTTCACTGAACTGAGTTTTTTATTGTCTCTATCGAAGTTTTGTGAATTTCTTCATAGGCGACTAACAGCTTGTTCTGTTGTTAAACAAGAATGTTTGACAGGAAAATAGTTGATTGCCGCATCAATTATCTACTACATGATGCAAATCAGGTGAATATAATATGGCTACTTATAACATCTTTGAGTAGTGTAGTTTTTTCACGACATATGTTAACGATTCAATATCTCAAAAACCATCCTTCTAATGGATTTTCAAGTTTTTACCTCATTTACATACTGTTATTGGCATTTTTCTATTTGAAAGAACACAGTAAAAAAAACTGGAGTTATAGATAGTGAGACCAATACTCGCTCAAACTTTTTTGATGCTTCGATAACCAACTGGGTTTTATATTAGAAAAGTTCGATATTCTATTCTGGTTAATGTATTTCAATTGATTTAACTTCAACGGTTACTTTTTTGGATATTTCTCACTTGCATATCTTCAAAGTTCTAATAAAACAACACAATAGAAGGTTGTTCACAGTATTCAAGTTTATTTTCAACCTTTTGTATCTCTCATTTTAAGGTTAATAAGGTTAGAGATTCTTTAAGATTGTGAGAATCATTGCCTTGATTGGTTTTAACCTATAATTGTAGGTTGCGTTTGTCAGTAACTAAGCTCATAATTAAGTGAAATGTCATTTTTTCCATACATTTCTCCTTTCTTTCAAACCAATTCTGACTTTGGTGTTGGTTGATAGTTATTTTGAGTTCCAGATGTTCTTCAATTATAGAAAACTGCCCTTGCTTTGTTAATTCGTGTCTTTAGATCGGCATCAGATCAACCTTGTTTATTGACGTTGCTACCCAAACAGGTCAATGTTCCCACATCTTCCAAATCTTCTCTTCCTAGTGTGATTCAGTTGGTGCATGTCGTGTTGTACCTACTGCTGCAGAAGTTGCTTTCGATCTGGCCGTCTTCTCCTGCATTCGTTGCAGTGTATGAGATAGAAGAGCTAGACCATCTGTGAAGTCCAGCTGCGTCCTAGTTGTCCAATGTATCCCGTGCTTTCCCCCAGATGTTTATGTCTTTATAATCCAGTCGACACCAACAGACAGGGAAAGAGTGTGAGTAAGCAACCTTGCCTGACACCGGTCTTCAGTTCAAACGAGTCTGTCAGCTCTCCCTCATGCATGATTTTTCAGTGTAGTCCATCATAATAATTTCGTATGATTTTGATGTGAGGCATGCCTTAGTTTCGAACAAGTACTAATTTGGTCATCCCGTACATAATGTTAAATGGTTTCCTGTAATCAGCGAAGTTGATACATGTTTGTTAGTCCTATTTCATTGATTGTTCCACAACGATCCGTAATGTCGTGATTTGGTCGGTACATAATCAGTGCCTACGGATATCGGGCCTGTTGATCTTGAAGCTGGGCGCTTTTTTAATCCCTGATTTGGTACAACACTTTTTTGAAGATTTTCTTGGCACTGATATTGGTGTGAGATGCCTCTGTAGTCCTCCCACTTGCCGAGATTTCCCATTGTTGGTACATTGATCAGATGTCTTTCTTTCCAGTCGGTTGTTACTTGTTCTTCATCCTAAATCTTTTTGAAGATAATTTGGAGTATCTTTTCAGTTACTGTTATATCTGCTCATAATGCCTCAGCTGCAATGTTGCCTGACCCCGCTGCTTTGTCACTCTTGACTTGTCGGTCAGCTATGCTTATCTTTTCGATTTTTGGTAGGTCAACATCAGTTATTCAGTTTGTAGATGATGCTTCAATGTTAGGCTGGTTCAGTGTAGCGGGCTTGTTTAAGAGCTATTCGGAATGCTCTATCGAATATTCTATTTCACTGATGTCTGACCTATTATTACTTAGTGTTTTATGTGACCGTTAGTGCCTTCATACTAACAAATATTTAGACAACTCACCTGTCTGAATTAACTTAATGAGAGTTTTTCTATTGTTTGTTTGTTTTCGAAATGATCAAAATTCAGATTTTAGAAAAAAGTGATAGATTTGAACTTTATCATAAAATGCACGCACTAACGATGATTAACAATTATATATATATATATATATATATATATATATATATATATATAATCATAATTATGAATTGAAGATAACACGAATCGAGTCTAATTGAAATGATGAATTTTGAATAGAAAAGTGACAAAATTTTTATGTAGAAACACTTGTGGATTCTTTTCAGGTGCTCACAACTAAGGAAGAATTTAATTAAGTGTTTCAATCCTATGATACTACATACTGTTATGTAATCGAAACCTGCGACTATGAGAATGTATGAAATGACTTGTTATGTATCAGTGATTTGGTCATATTTGAGAATATTGAATTATTTTAAAAGTGTACTTAATGAAGACGTAAAAGAAGAATGTGATACACACAACTATGGTAACTATCAAGTTGTGAATTAAAAACCTTGTTCATGTCCAAACTGTGTTAAATTATATGCAGTCTAACTGTCGTAAACGGCGCACGTTACTTTTACTGAGCTGTTTGGTTACATTATGGACTATGAAGTTGGATAACACAAACTTGATTCTCATAACGAGTACCTATCCTTCTAAGATTCTAAGTAGGATTTGTTGATGTGCATGCCAACAAAACGTATATTTTTAGGGCTTCTCATTAACTGCATCCAACCACCTAACAGCAGTAACTGTTCTTGAAGGAACTTGTATCTGTAAACTTTAGGTCGGTGACTAACACCAATCATTTTACAGTATTTGTTGCATTTAAGTACAATTTCATTTAAATATTTGATATATTTTTGTTGTAATCTCTTCTTTGTTATGTTTTTTGTCAAGGTATTCTGTTTGGATTTAGTTTCACATTTAGCTCAGCATTATAATATTCAAGCAACGCTAGATCGTGCTGCTTTTATGATTGATGCATTATATCATTTTTTGACAGGTTAGTTTATAAAATTTTGAAAAATATATGTATATTACAATCGCCATATGTAAATACTTTCGTGGAGTAAATTGTTCATGTTGTGTGTGTGTTTTTATGATGTCGGCCTCATTTTATAACGTATGTTACATCTATTAATAACAACAGAATGGAATGAACATATTTTATTTGCTTTTGTGTTGTGGTTGAATTTGTTGTTGCCAACTTCACAAAATTTTTATTCCTAGTTCATGAATATTGTAATTATAGCCTGTGATTAATGACTTTATAATACAGTACGAATTTTAAGTTTTAATTTGCTATTCTATATATATATATATAGAATTGTTTGAAAGTAAGATTGAATGTCTTGGGTTCGATTCCTGCGTGGTGGGGCGTTCGTGGATGCGCACTGTTGATGAGTCCCATACTATTACGAAATGTCCGTCCAGTGCTTCCAGGTTTCTAATGGTGGTATAACAATGATCGATTCATCATTTCAATGTTATATACAGAACCCAATTTGTTAAATAAATTTAGATTTTTCTTAAAGAAGAAAAATCGATACTTACAAAAAAGAAAACATTCAGATATAACATTGGAACTACGAATCGATCAAAGTTAGACAACCATTTTAAAACTAGAAGCACTGGACATTGATATGGAAATTCAATCACTAGAAAAAGGCAATCGAAGAGAATAAATGGTAGTTGTAAGTAGAATTGGATGGTGGCTAGTAGTGGAATTGAGGATACACATTTTGTCCTATTTGGAACTCGTCCGATGGGTGCGCATGCACGCAAGAATCAATGTCGACCTCGGGACTCAAACTCTTTCTCTTTTCTTCCACTTAACTACTGAGTCCAAATAGATACTGGCTTATACAATATAGTCCTAAACATCAATAGGATAATGAATCAATGCAAATGGATTCGGTGATCGATTACGTAATCGTCACTATATTCTTTGTTTTATTTTGACCGTTATCAATATCATGTAATAGAATAATAATCATTTTGTTTAATTTAATTTTTTTTTAATCTTGGCCCAACAACAAAATATTCAAAAATATTATAGTGGTAGTCAGTGTAGATGAACGATCAAATTTTTTATATGAATGTTTATCTTCATTATTACGTTTGGGTACTGCATTCCCAAATTTAGTGCCTATAATTGCACGTCTTCTATTATCAGTCGGTCTAATGATTAGTTGTACACTATCAGAGGATTCACAATCACGTTTGCGTTGTCAATTTGAAGCTTTAAAAGCAAGTAAGTAGAGTATATACGTAATTTTTTTTAGTGGTGATTCAATGTAAATTGTTTTGACTTGGTTTTACTTTTTATTTTATTTTTTATCTTAGTAAAAAAAATATACGTATATATAATTCTACAATAACATACATGTTTGCAATAAGCTTCCGTATCTGGTTACGTAATAATTGATAAATTATTTAAAGATTTCAAATCTATAGCTCCACTCTGGTTTAAATTCATTAGCTTGAACATATTTGAGCTAAAGCTTCCATATTTTGTTTCACAGATAAATTATTGAATTTCAAATGTCACATGTAGATGTGAATGGTTAGAAGATTAATTAAGCGTTCTTCATGATGCCTGAAGATCATGGCTTCGATTTCCAACAGAGTTATGGATTACTTCTTGTTGTTGTGCTTCTAAAACGAGTATGCTTCACTTGTTTCTTGTATTGGTTATGACTGTACTGAAACATTTATTTGGGCACATGTATATTACAAAGTTAGTTATTTATTCGTAAACAATAAAGTCATGATTGCTGCTACGCAATGAAATTCAAAAATATTCACAATCCCATACCGTATTCTCAGTGCTTAGTCTTTCTCATTATTAGTGGTACTACTTTATTTCGATTCCTTTGTTATTCAACTTGTGCTGTCTAGAAACTTGAGTCAACTTTGTACCAAGCTCTACATTGACTATATATGGTGTGTTTATTGAATAGAACATTTTGTGGCTTTCGTAAGATATTTTATTTAAAAAAAATTAAAAATCGGAATTCAACACGATTGGATTGTATAATAACAATATTAATGATAAAACTAATAATAATAATAATAATAATAATAATAATAATAATTAGTTGACATATTTCGGTTAATACCGTACTAACCGATCATTTATTTTTTTTAAAATCTCGATTAATTATAATATAAAATAGAGACCTTTTCTATTTTATTTGCATGCTTTTTAAGTTTCTGTTGCGTGACTTTGACCTCCATTATAAAATACTTCCTTCTTCATTAATATATCAAAATATTATTGTTGTACAGGATATTGCATGAAGGTATAATGTGTTTGGTGGACGTTACACGTAAATTATTATAATGTCGTAAAAAACATGAAACTTAAGTTTGAAGAGAATATATATATAAACATATATATATATATATATATATATATATATATATATATATATATATATACATTTAGGATTGGTCTTTTTTTAGAGTTGAATAGTAAGCAACACTGCAATCCAGGACATACTTTCTGCTTCATTTAATACTCATCTGAATGTACATGCCTCCCAAGGTTCATGTCTACATTGGGACTCGAATACAGTTCCTAATGCGATGATAAACACTTCCGACTAAGTTAGTTTTTTCGAGGCAATCTACTCGAAATCCTCATATACCTACGAAAACTAATCATTTGGAATCCCTAATTATGATACCTGAAATATGAACATTAGCACTCGCGAATGGGAAGAGTTGACTCAGGTTCACTTGAAATACATATTTCACAAGCTGTGGTGGTACATATCATTATTCATTTGTATAATTATTCCTAAGTTTTTTGGTTCATTCATTTCGTTTGAACACTAAATAAGTCACTTATTCAAACCTTTTTTGTTTTATTCAGCTAATTTAATGGTAGTATCTTTCGGGGGTTAGATAGTGCAGTTATCTATTCATATCTGCTTAGTTGATTTTTCTCTTGTTTAGCTTTTCTGAAATTATCCCAATATAAAGTACAAATGGTTAATCCATTTTGCTTTTGTCTATTTTTCGGAATGCAACTAAGCAACCATCGATTTTCTACTTTTCAAAATTTAAATTTGATCAAACGTTTAATGTGGGGCTATTACAAGTTCAAGTACTTGGTTTTGAACTACAGGTTTCTTGTGGGTTAATAATAAATATATTAAAAAAGTGGTCCTGTAGTGGTCCTGTCATCAGTTCGTGTTCATACACTGTATCTGGTTTTTCATAAACGCTAACCAGAAAATATATCAGCATAGCGAAATAAATTCCTGAAGATAAATGTCCGAGTAGTAGAAGTACTGATCGTATCAGTGATAGTACAAAACTTAAGGTATAAATAATATGATCCTAAAAAAGAGTAATTTCATAGACAGCACAAGTATTTTGAGACAAAGAATAATAATTTTGCATTATTAATTACGAGTGATGCCATTTAACATCTCTAACCACTGATAGCAGTCATCATGCAGACACCAACCAAGATAGTCTGGATCTACAAACATGACTTCGATCAATAATCAACGACTTCAAAAAGTGATTTGTGCCTGTTGTCGAATTTATGTGGTAAGTAGTAATTCCCCCGGACTGTCTGATTCTTACTGTAGAAGTCACAAGCAGACTAGTATTCAAAGTATGATGGAGAACAATGGATATACTTGCAGGTATTATATTTGGAGTTTGAGTCAGGCGCGTAATAATGAACGACGAAATCACCATGATACGATGCCAAGTTTTAATTTAAATCCCTCTCCTAACTTTTATTCAACCTACTCATAGCAACAGAGATTGCATATTGAGGTCGATGGTGATTCGGAATAGTCAATACATGTCCCAACTATCTCAACTGATAAAGGCTCACTACCTCGTTGAACTTCAACATTACTGGCCCTTCCAGCTTGCTGTTCACTTTATACTGATATAATTTACTATTAGAATATTTTGTCATACATGCACTATTTTTTATTAACTATCTATAGATTCATATTCAGAAATTAATGAAATCGACAATCACATGATGACAACATTAACATTGAGTGAACGTAATCAAATTTGTCTCTTACAAACTATGTCTGTGTTAAATAGATTAGTTTTCCAATGCTCAGCACAACGTCATCTATATTATTCACCTAGATTAATAAACTAAAATAAAAGAGCCGAACAATGATCGTTTGGTATTTGTTGTTTAATGAATTGCTTGTAATGTACAAAGAAAAACAACGATATTTGTTTAAAATACATCTCATCAACACATATAATAAAAATGCTTCATTCATAATTGTATTTTATATCGTTTTGTTATTTTGTATATTACTTATGAACAGTAAATATGTGCACTAATGAGTGAAACAAATGAAATTATCTACAATACTTATTTTCTTATTCATCTGAATTAGTTCACTACTTCTATCGAACACAATAAAATGTGTCTAGCAGTCAGTTGCAACGTAGAACTTAGTACGTATGTACATCAGTTCAGGTTGCCATACCACATTAGCACAGAGACGCAAATGTCAAATCAAATCCCTTAGTGATAAACATAGTAGAGGTATTAATGGTAATGAAGTAAACTAGGGTTTGAAGATATTATTCAAGAAGTATAATTCAGAGAGTTAAGGTTAGAAAGACAAGAGTAGAGGTGGTGAAGAATCCAGAAGATTAGGATTTGAGAGAGCTCAAAGAGTGGACGCACCTGCGCCATTGCAAACGATTTTGAGCCATGTCGTTCAAGGTCATTAACCATCGAATACTATCATCTCGCGGACCCCAACCAGGTAGTCTACATCTATCAACATGACTCAGTCCACTTGTTAGTGACTTCATGGATTTGTGCCATGTTTTGGTCTGACCGCCCCTAACTTTCTTCCAACCTACTCCTACACCACAAAACATAGCTCTTCGAGGCAGTCGATGGTTAGGAATTCGTAACACATGTCCCAACCACCTCAACTGATGAAGTTTCATTACTTCATCTATTGATCTGCCATCTTTACCTAGCACCGGTTTCCTAACGACAGCATTGCTTATTCGGTTACCTCACGATATACGAGCAATGCTTCTAAGACATCTATGATCGAATACCAGTAACCTACGAACACCTACTCTAACTGGCCATTTTTCGCATCCATATAGGAGAACAGAGCGAACTGCTGCACGGTACACTCGTCCTTTGGTTAGCGAGCGGATGTCTGGCCTACGCCATAAGTGACACAGGTTGGCAAAAGCCAACCGAGCCTTCTGTATCCGTGCTGAGATTTCATCAGTCACCAGACTATCAGCGCTGATGAGACTCCCCAGATAAGTGAAGCGGTCTAAACGATCGACTACTTCGCTCCCTATCACTAGTTCAGGTGCCGATGAAACCCAGTTTTGAAGCAACAATTTGCATTTAGGGGGGGAAACCGCATCTCGAACATGCTTGCATTGTTGCTTAGGGTGGTTAGAAGACTGCATTTTGTCAGCGTCTTCACCAAATAGAACTATGTCATCGGCATATTCTAAGTCGATAAGCGAGCCTCCTGGTAAGAGGTTTACTCCTGAAAATTCAGACGAGGATAAGGTTATTTCTAGGAGCATGTCTACGACAAAGTTAAACAAAAATGGAGGGAGTTGAGAGCCCTGTCTGACACCACTTGACGTAGATAATTCCCGTGACAGTTCGCTATAAGCTCTAACTCGACGAGTGGTGTTCGAGTAGAGAGCTGTTATATTAGGGTAATGTACTTCTTTAGTACACCTTTCAATGACAGACACTGTCACACAACCTCACGACCCACTGAGTCAAATGCCGCTTTTAGGTCCAGGAACGTCTAAATGTGTGTCTGTGTTCCAGGACCTGTCGTAGTGTGAAGATGTGGTCTATACAACCACGTCCAGGTCGAAAACCAGCCTGGTTTTCTCGAGTCTGCTCTTCACGAGCTCTAGTTAGCTGTCTAAGTATAATCGAGGCTAACAATTTAGAAACTATATTAGTTAGACTTACTCCCCTGTTGTTGCAAGAGGACTTTTGTCCTTTCTTATACATTGGGACAGTTAGCGACTGAGACCAGTCAGACGGGATTACGTCCAGTTCCCAGATGCTACCTAGGATCTCGGTCAGTCTAACTGTTAAAACTGGACCACCATCCTTAGACGTCTCAGGGGTAAGCATATCAGGACCTGCTGCTCTACCTCCCTTTAGATTTCCTATAGCTTTCTCAACTTTATGTAGACTGGGAGGACTTAAATCGATTTGCCATTCAGGATGACTGGAGATCGTGGGCGACCGAAGAGTGGCTCGAGGCTAGTTGAAATGATTCCTAAAGTGTTCTGCCCATCCGTCCAATCTCCTGGATTGAGAATGGATAATAAGACCATCCTTTTCCGAGACAGTCTCACTCACATTCGGGTTCCTAATACCGGTTTCGTTTATAAGTCGGAAAAGTCGTCTACTGTTGCCTATCGCCACTGCCTTTTCCATCGCCTTTGCTTTCGCCACCCACCACTGTTCGCGGTCGTTACGTAGGCTTTTTATAAGTCTGCGCCTAAGCTGACTACGCTCTTCATAATGTTCAGAGTCCGGTGGGATGCGTTTTCGAGCATCCATCAGTTCGGTGGATGCGACTGAAATCCACGGCTTCATCCTAGCCTTACGGTTTACCTCGCTAGCAGATATCACTGCCGTTTCCACAGCATTTTTGATATCATTCCAACCTGCTTCAGGATGGGAATCGCTTACATGGTTGCCTAACTGTTTTTCTAGTTCTTCCTGAAATATTTTTTTAGCTTGATTATCATTAAGTAAGACCCTAAGAGGCTTCCTTACGGTATCTTTCCTACGTCCAGTAAGCCTCAAACAAATACGCGCTCGCACTAGGGCATGATCTGAATCTAAACATGTGCCCCAGAACGAGCGACAGTCCTCTGTCGAACCCCTCCGTCGGTGACCGATGGCAATGTGACCTAGATATGTCCAACGTTGGACGACTTCGGGGGTCGCCAGGTCAAAAGATGTTCTTCCTTATGCCTAAAGTTAGTGTTTGCTAGAAATAGGCGGTTATCTGAGCATAGTTGCAACAGACGGTCGCCATTGTCTGTTATCTGAGCCGCGACACCATAACATCCACCAAGGTGTCTCTCCTGCTAACTTAGTCTACCTACTTGAGCATCGAAGTAACCAGCCATTATAACTATATCAGAGCGCTTAACTTTTTGGAGGAAGTCCGAAAGCTTTCAGTAAAACTCATCTTTTACATCGTCTGGACTGCAGTTAGTGGAAAAAATGTGTCTAGCTGACTTTCAGAAACTTGTTTTGATATTTTCAGTAGTGAGAAACATTTTTTAGTCAAATGAAAACAAAATATCACTCTTCATAAAGGGTTTTATTGCATATCGATTTGAGAGCAACTAAAACAGGAATTTAAAAGTGATAGCTGCAAATTTGTCTTGAACTGATTCCAAAGTGAGAAGTATTATTCCGTCTAACAATAAATGCATTCAAAAAAAAAATCTTTGTATTGCCTAGGTTTAGTCATCCCTGTTTAAACTAAATAAATCATTGTTTTATAGGAAATCAGATTCTAATCAGTCGGTAGGTATTAATGCGCCAAAGTCGATCAAGAAATTAGGAGCCTCGTCTTAACACTATTACAGTTTGTTGCCTTAAAAATGTAATCACCATTTGTGAAGTGAATGAGTAAACTGAACTGATAGCTAGATCTATTTCGAATAGTCCAATCACTGACTGACAGTTTCCTGACCTGGTGGTCATGATCACCCAACCGAGTCATATTGGCTGGAACACATGTTCCTGTAGGTCTTACCATGCCAGGCAGGTCAACTGGTGGACGATGAGACTAGAAAGCAGCTGTTCCAGGTACGAGGGCGAAGTCGTACTGCTGACTGCAGATGGTTGTGACAGCAGTAAGGTGTTTCCCTCATACAACCAGCATCTGGAGAGACGCTGCCTTCTCACAAGGAAAGAGTGAATTAGAAAAGGTCGACCCTAAAAATGTCACACCTTATCTTACAACACGGACTTCCGTCTCCGGCGGTAAGGGTTCCCGCAAAGGGCTTTTAAGAGCGAAGCTAATACTCAAAAAACCTTTCATGACAAGGCCGTGCGTGACCGAACTCAAGCAGTTGACCCTTGGGCTCTGTGGTCACGCTCCCACATCTGTAACACCAATCCAACTTTTTTCAGATTCCTTAATAAACACTTCCGCGATGTGGGCAACCGGGAAGTGAGATCCGCCGTCATACCCGTAACAGCACGCGAGACCAAATTGATCAGAATCGAATCCTTCCTACACCCCCTTTACGTCTCTCTTATCGATGAGCAGAAAACTTGAGGGGTCAGTTCAAGTGGCCTTCAGTCACACTCCGGTCGCCCACGATCTCCAGTGCCTTTTGTGCTTGTTTGGACAGCATCAGTGCAACTCCTTATGTATGTGGGGCATTTTTCTCTCAGTGCCGGAGTATAACAGCAACTCTCCTATCGCTATCACTCTTGAACTGACAGTTTCGTCTCTGTGCTGACGTGGTATGGCAACCTGAACTGATGTACTTATGTACGAATTTCTGCGTTTTATCTGTCTGTCTACAACTCTCCTGAAGCTAGTCTTTGGTATTCAACCTGCATCACGTGATTCGTTGATTCCAAGCACCAAATTAATGGTTGCTGTGGTTTACAGAAGGGACATCAGCCTTATGACTTCGAAGTAACTCGGATTTCATCATGAGACGACACAAGTCTTTTTATTGAAATATCTTTCAACTTCCAGGGCAGGGTTAAAATGGTTTGAATTATTTTCTGGTTAGCGTTTTTTTAGCGAATTAGTTTTCCACTGTGTGGGGTTGCTAACCCCATGCTTAACCCTCCTCCTTTATCCGGGCTTGGGGCCGGCAGTAGCTCCAGAGGGGCGCCCGGCGGAGTTTAGACTTCAACCTACTGCACCAATAAACATCACGCGTTGAGGTAGGCAGTGGTTGAACAAAGAGTATATGCAGTGATTCGCCACCTCATCAACCGATTTACCATTATTACCTAGTACCCTACGTCTAACTTGAACAATGCTTAATCGCCGGTCCCGACGTACACAAGCAGTCAGCTATGACGAAATACCGGTAACCTAAGAATATCTTTTATTTTTAAAGGTCACATACCACAACGACAAAGTAAAAACAAAACGAACGGCTGCGCGATATACTCAAATATAATAAGTGGAATGATAACTGAATGTAGAATTGAAGAAAAACAAATTATAAAAGTACTTTTTTCATTTGTGGGAAGATAACAAAAATTGTTTCCTTTTTAAAGATCAAAAAATCAATACAAAAAAATAGTAACAATATAAACCCTGAGTGAAAACAGAACGAAATAGGATAAGTATATCAATCAGATAAAAAAAAATGATATATCTAATTAGAGGTTGTTAGCGTTGTTCAACATATGTTGGTTAGATGAGATTCCATCCAATTTAGTCACTGTACCATTCAAATTACCAATATAAACTCTGCTTGTCATATTGATAAACAGGCCAGTGTCAACGATACCTTTTATTGTAAAGAAAGTTTAAAATGTTAAGTTAATGGACACAATATTTTTTATTCCTTTTAACTTATGATATTGTATTAAATAATAAACTATAGTTTTGATGAATTAAAATATTCAGTTTATTCGAACCGATGAACTGGATGTGGTATGGTTTAAAAATGAAATATTAATCAGCAGTGTAATCAGAAAAAATAAGGATATTAGCATGACAATAAAAATGTAGAACATTCTGACCAAAAACAGATAGGAAGTAGCGATCACTTATGTAACTGATAAACATCCTCCACTCCACTGAACTTTGAACGGTACTAGCTATGAGTGATGCCAAATTGTAAAAACCAAACAATGCAATGCAATCGTAAATAACCAGTTTATCATAAAAGAAATGAACTTGGGAATGAACAGCACTGGAATCAAGAACGTGGATCTCGTCCTATTTGAGACTTGTCAGCTGGATGTACCTGCATCTCAGGATTAAAGTTCACACCAGAACTCGGAACTAAAACCTTTCACTTCAAAGTGTTCAACACGTTACTCACTTGTGAAAAATGGCTATACAAAGGCAATTCACACGACATACTTATATACTAAGATTGATCGAAATTAGTCAAAATTACTAATACTGGGACAAGTCAAATCATTTACAAGATATATAAACAGTTTATCGTGTACTTATTTAATTAGTGATGATTGAAAATAACAATATAGTTATTGGCTGTCTGTTGAACAGCTTACAAGATCGGCTAAACTCATTTGTACTGTTTACTGAAGCGTTCCACTTCACATATAACATTTAACTATTGTGCATGAAATTTCGGTTTGTTTTGATAGATCTAATTCAAGCAATAGCCGTAACAAATAAAGAAATCTCCCAATGAAAATTTTTGTACAATATATGGAAGACAATTTATACCCGGATTGAGATTTTGCGTGATATTCAACCAGTCACATTATTAATTTACTAATTATTGTCTTAATGGTAAGAAACAGCTGTCCAATAGTCCCTAGATTATAATGTCTCTCTAATGGAGTGATGGTTTAGTTGTTAACGCCGTTGAAATTCTATCCTTAAGATCCCACATGCGAGTACAGTTCCATTTACTACCTTCGTTTGTACAGTCTGGCAGCAACAACAGACCTCGCAAATAAAGTGGTGTTAAAGTAAATCGACTGTAACTGATATGATTAAAATATGTAATAACAAAATAGTCAGCCACATATTAGAATGGATAAACTAGGCCAAAAGTAAATTATAAAACAAGTCTTACCAGGTATTTGCAACAATTGGACATTAACATCTGGCCAACAATATCGTTTATTAGTGTTAAATTTCCAGTCTAATATGAAATTTCCATTATCTGTTACAACTGGACCCTATCATATATGCATCATATGTGGAAAATAGGAAAACATAAATATGTACATAAGGATTTTTTTCCTTTAAAACTCATATGAATTGAAAAGTAAGTAAAATAACCAAACTATTAAACGACAGAATATTGGATAAACTTATTTACCAAGTACTTAAGTATGGTCCAGACCCAAAGTTTGATGCCTAATGATGACCCGCTACTCAAAGCGAAAAAGATGGAGTGGGGTTCGAAAATGGGACTAAAAATTTGAAAATCAAGTCTTAACTACTAAGCCACAGATCCACTGAATCACAAGTTTATTTAAATTGTAATTCATTTCAACTACAGTTTACGTAGAGACCAAAATGAAAATCTTTTTATAACGTCCTGTAGGCGAACTAATCTGTAAACGCTGCAATTAAGTAAAATCTAATAAATTATCATCGTCTGACTTTTCAGGAGTGGACCTTCTAAAAGGAGACAAGCTTGATGACTTAGAATATGCTGATGACATAGTTCCATTTGGTGAAGACACTGACAAAAAATGCACAGTCTTCTGACTACCATAAGCAACAATGCAAGCATGTTCGGGATGCGGTTTTCCCCGTCGAAATGCAAAATGTCGCTTCAAGATTGGCTTGTATGAGCACCTGAACAAGTGATGGGTAGTTAAGCAGTTGAGCGCGTCGACCGGTTTGATTATCTCGGGAGTCTCATCAGTGCTGATGGCCTAGTGACTGACGAAGTCTCAGCACGGATACAGAAGGCTCGAATGACTTTTGCCAACATTCGTCACTTATGGCAAAGGCGAGATATCCGTTTGCAAACCAAAGGACGAGTCTACTGCGCAGCAGTTAGCTGTCCTACTATACGGATGCGAAACATTGCCGGTAGGAATAGAAGACATTCGTCGGTTATCAGTATTCGATTATAGATGTATTCGAAGCATTGCTCGTATATCCTGGGATAGGCGAGTAAGCAATGTTATTTGTCAGGAATCGATTACTAGGTAGGGATGGCATATCAATAGATGAAGTATTGACACTTCATCAGTTGAGGTGGTTGGGACATGTTACAAATGTACAACCACCGACTGCCTTGACGAGCTATGCATTGTGGTTTGGGAGCAAGCTGGAAAAAAGCTAGGGGCGGTCAAACCAAAACATAACAGAAATCCATGAATTCACTGACAAGTGGACTGAGTAATGTTGGTAGATGCAGACTAACTGGTTGGGGTCCGCGAGATGATATTAATCGATGGTTAGAGACCTTGAACAACACGGCTCGAAATCGTTTGCAATGGCTCAGGTGCATCCACTCTTTGCGTTCTCTCATATTCTAATCTTCAGAATTCCTCGTCATCGCTATCTTTCTCTTTCTAAAGTTATCTCACTGAAATATACTTCTTGAATAATATCTTTGATCCCCATTACTCTACATTACCGCTAATTCTTCTACTGTCTTCACCGCTATGGGATTTGAACTGACAGTTGCGTCTCTGTGCTAATGCGGTATGGCAACCTGAACTGATGTACATATGTACGAAGTTCTGCATTGTAACTGATTTAACTCCGATAAATTTTATTAGACTGTACGTACTACACAGATAAAATGATCAATAATAATCAGCTCCCTACACTAACGACTAACTTCATAAAGGACTTTTTGAATTTCAGACAAGAAACAGTGATCTACCAGTGGCCGAAATATAGTGCAGATCGATTGAAGATGGTAATAAAACATGATGTGTAACAACCGTGAAAAACGTGTAATTATTAAAGCAAAATTTAGAGTTGCGCAACCTAAAGAAAAGTGCAAAACTGGTAGCAGACTGAGGTTTTACTTACCTTTCAAAAAAACATGACAGTCATCTAATGATTGGTAACACACGATTGAAAATAATTTACATGGACTATATTGTAAACTAATACACCAAAGACTGAATATAATGGTGAGTAAATATCACATTGAATCAAAACATAACATCTCATCTTACCCCATCCTGGCAGAATAGATTCCAACTTACTGGTCTTCAGGTATTTGAATCAGAGTCTAACCAAGTGTCAGGCTTTATACGTATATTATCGACAAATCCACAACCTGACCTAAGCAGCTGTTTATGGCTTCCTGATTTCCGTAAGTTTTTTAACTAGTATCAGTCTATGATGAAAACTAAGCCCAGCATAATATATTAGGAATTTTTATGGACGTTTGGTGATTTTGTAGGTTGCATTCATTCCAGATTGACCTCAGTTTGGGACTCCTCAATAGTGCGTACACAAAACTCTATTGGCGATCAAGCCTAAGAGCTTTATGCTCCCAGGTGAATGTTTAATTGTTAAAGCCACTGGACGGCTGTCTCATGATACAACTTGGACTCCAAACAACTTGCGACATAGTTGGTTGATCATCCAATGCCGCTAGTAACAACTAATACATGTTACTTGAAGATGAACCTGTTATACCATAAAATTTTACCGCTGTATTCAAGTGTTACTGTTACTGAACCGAGCAAAGAAGCCAAAGAAAGTCTTTTAAAAATCTAAAGGAGCCAACTAAATCAGCACCATTTGTTATTAAATTATAGAGAAAATATGACAGACCGGTTGAAGAAAAAAACACCTACCATCTTTGAAACAGCTTCTCGTAGAATCACTTGTCCACCAAATAATTTTTTTATTTTTGTTTGCACCGGTTTGAAAGCCATTGGGACTACTTCAATTGGTAAACCTTTAGTCCAGTATGAACCTAGTTTCTTTGAATGTTTACTAGATAATTCACAACAGTTGTAATATATAGAAGAAATTATTGCTGTTTACACCTTTCTGAAATATTAATTGCCTGAAAATAAACACTTTTAAGGTGAATTTTTACAAACTTATTAACAACTAGATTAGATCACATATTCAAAAATATACAGTTCATGTCACAGACTTGTACAACACTGGGTAACGGCTTAGTTGTCTAGAGGGTAGGAGTTCGCGCATGAAACCGAAGGCTCTAGCTTTGATTCTCGGTCTCCAAGTCGCAGATGGACACTGCTGAGTCTCACATAAGAATGAAACATTTACTTAATGCTTCTAGGTCCACATCGTGATTTCAATGAAATTCGACCGACTCAACAATTCCCTATCGAACTTATCCAGATGACCATCAAAAATTATAATTATAATAATTATAATAAAAGTTAAAGCATAAATATTATCACGTAGACAAACTTGCCGTTCATCGATAATAGCTATAAAATCGTTAGTACAAGAAGCGACAATTTTTTCCTGTAGTAGACAACCACCACCGCCTTTTATTAAATGAAGATATTCATCTATTTCATCTGCTCCATCAAAAGTTACATCAATCTGAATTTTCAAGAAAAAACAAAGCTAGATAAAGATGAAACGAAACATTTTACCTGATCACATACATCAAGATCTATCACTGGCAGTTTAAAGTTGATCAGAAGTTGTCTGGCCTGTAAAAGATAGTTAATTTCAAAGGTGAGAAGGTAGTTTTATTACATTATGGATGAGTATACGTTAAAAATATAAACCTAATAGAACATATGACAGTTCGCCATAAGCTCTAACTCGACGAGTGGCGTTCGAGTAGAGAGCGTTTATATTAGGGTAACGTACTTCTTTGGCACACCTTTTAATGTCGGACACTGTCACAGAACCTCACGATCCACAGAGTCAAATGCCGCCTCAAGGTCCAGGAAGACGACTATTGTCAGACGCATAAATGTGTGTCTAAGTTCCAGGACCGTTGACAGTAGAGGACTTATGTAGGTTACTAGTCTTCGATCATCGATGTCTCCGAAGCATTGCTCGTGTATCATGGGACAACCGTATAAGCAATGCTGTCGTTAGGAAACAAATTCTAGGTAGGGATGGCAAATCAATAGATGAAGTTGTGATACTTCATCAGTTGAGGTGGTTGTAACATGTATTACGAATGCCTAACCACCGACTGCCGCGACGTGCTATGTTTTGCAGAGAAATGGAGACAGATATGGGAAGATTGAACAACAATCGAACTGAATTAGAAAGGATCGCTTAGGACAAAGTGGGTTGGAGAATACTGGTCGGTGGCATATTCTCCATTGGCGGGGGTAACAGGCGAAAGTAAATAAATGTGTACATATCAAGGAATTAGCACGAACTACCTCTCATAACTTAATAAACATAGGACGAGTGTACTGCGCAGAAGTTCGCTCTGTCCTACTATACGGATGAGAAACATGGCCGTTAAGAGTAGAGGACATTCGTAGGTTACTAGTCTTCGATCATAGGTGTATCCCAAACATTGCTCGTGTATGCAATCACTGTTGGATTCGAACAGACAGTTGCGTTTCTGTGCTGATGGGGCATGGCAACATGAACTGATGTACATAGGTGCGAAGTTCTGCGTTGTATCTGTCTGTCTGATGTAGTCTACGCAGCCACATGCAGGTCTGAAACCATCCTGGTTTTCTCTGGTCTCCCCTTTCGTATAAATTGGGATAATCGGGGATTGAAACCAGTCAGATGGGATTACGCCTAGTTCACAGATTCTACCTAAGATCTCATTCAAGCTAGCTGCTAAAACTGGACCCTCATCCTTAAAAATCTCAGGGGTTAATCTATCAGGACCCGCTGCTCGCTCTCGCTTCAGATTTCCTATCGCTTTCACAACTCCAAAAAGAGTCGGAGAACTTATATTGATTTGCCATTCAGGTTGACTGGAGATCGTGGGGGACGGAAGTGTGACTGAAGTGGTCTGCCTATCGATCCAATTTCCTGGATTGAGAATGACTGATACACCCATCCTTTTCTGGGATAGTTTCGCCGACTGATGGATTTCTAACACCGGTTTCCATGATAAGTCGGAAAGGTTGTCTACCGTTACCTATCGCCGCGGTTGTTTACACCTCTTTTACTTCCACTAACCACTACGGTGTGAGATCACTGCGTAGGCATTTTACTGGCCTGCACCCAAGTTGACTCTGCTTTTCATCATGTTCAGAGGCAGGTGGGATGAGTTTACGAATGTCTTTCAATTCGCTGGATGCTATTGAGATTCATGTCTATTTCCTAGCCTTATAGTTTACTTTACTGGCATATATCGCTGCTGTTTCCACAGCCTGTTCGAAATCATTTCAAGCTGCATCAGGGTGGACACCACTTACGACATGGCCGCCTAGTTGCTCATGAAATATATTCTTAGCCTTATAATCCTTAAGTAGAACCCTAACAGGTTTCCTTGCGATGTTTTTCTTGCGTCCAGTAAGGAGCAAACAAATACACGCTCGTGCTAGAGCATGGTCTGAGTCTAAACACGTGCTCCAGAATGAGCGGCAGTCTACAACAGAGCCTCTCCACCGATGGCTTATAACGATGTGATCTAGTTGGGTCCAACGTTGGGTCGTCTTTGAGGGTCGCCAGGTCAAAAGATGTTTTTCCTTATGCCTAAAGTTAGTGTTTGCTAGGAATAGGCGGTTATATGAGCATAGCTGCAGCAGACAGTCGCCATTATCTGTTCGATGAGCCGCGACACCGTAAGATCCATTTAGGTTTCTTTCCACTGAGTTTATCTACTTGAGCATTGAAGTCACCAGCGATTATTATTATTATTATTATTATTATTATTATTATTATTTCAGAGCGCCTAACTTTTAAGAGAAGTTTAGAGAGGTTTCTATAAAACTTATGTTTTATGTCGTCTGAACTGCAGTCAGTGCGAGCGTAGGTAGATACGACGAAGAGGCACCGGCTAATATCCCTATCTTTCCGAGTCTTTACTGTCCCGTTTAGTCGGACAGCGCATAAGCAACTGTCTACCGGGATCCAGTCTAAGAGAGCTAGTTCTGCCATAGGACTCGGTGCTATACTTATGCCAGCGAGGACATGGGAAGCAGCATCAGGGCTAACAGAAACACGAGATGTAAACCTTGTGGTTTCTCCATCTGCATAAGGTGAACTCAAATTGATGATTTTACTCGGATCTTGGATGCGCATTTCGGAGACACAACATACATCGATCGCCCGTGATTCCAGAGTTCTAGCTAATGAAGCATGTTGCCCTTTTGGCATAGGGTCCGAACATTAGAAGCTCCAATATATAATTCAGTACAGGGTTTCAAGAGACCAGGAATAATGTTTCGTGAGCTCATACCGTTTGCTTCAGTGGGGTGAGGTGACAAACAATCGAAGGAAGAGTTGATCAAAGAGATGAGAAAGTTATTAAGAGGTGTATAATCGATTTAATTGTGACCGATTTGGTCTCATGTGCTTTTATGGGTATGAGGGCGGATATTACTTCCCGGCTGCCCACACTGTGGAAGAGTGTTTCTTGAGGAATCTGAAAAGAAAGGTAGATTAGCGTTGGTCTTAACGACCTGGGAGCGTGACCTCAGAGTCCAAGAGACAACTGCTTGAGGTCGGTCACACACGGCCTTTGAGCTTTTTTGAGTATTAGCTGCACTCTTGAAAGCCCTTAGTGGGCAGCCCTTACCCCCGGAGACGGAAACCCGTGAGGTAGGGTGAGGTGACATTTTTAGGGTCGACCTTTTCTAACCCTTTGTTCCTTGTGAGAAGGCAGCATTGCTGCAGATGCTGCCGTTTATACTTCAAAAAAGGTCCACTTCGTATAAGCAATAATGATATTACTTATCTTTTTAATCAACGTTTCTAGTTAAGTGAATAAAAGTATATGTTATTCTATATACCTATTATTTGTGAAACTATTATGTAACAACTATTAATGCGAACCATATTTTTAAAACTCATGGGGATTGAAACCAAATTATTTTAACACTTCTCTTGGCAATCTGCTTTGAGAAAAACGTTTCAGTAGTTTGTTTTCAATCCGTTTAAGTTCGAAAAATATAATTCGTGCTTCCAATATCTTTTGTACACTCGCGGTCCAATTATTTCTATATAATGTCACATTAAACAAAATCACAACAACCACACATTAGTTAACGGTTCACCAGGACTGACATAACATCAGAAAATTATTTGGATACAAGCACGTAATAACGGCATCCCACTGCTGACACCAAATTAAGCCCCCATATGCCATGGTACAGAAGAAAGTGGGAAGAGTTTGCCCTCTCTCAAAATACTCTCACATGGCGACGTGTATATAACCACTGTCAGGGGAATCCTATTCACTAGCTTCTCATGACTAGTGTTGCTTGAGAAATCCAGAGGACGAAAGGCGAATATCAGTGCTTTGAATGGGTTGGTGCAAACGGAGGTTCCAACTAAGTTGGAAAACTCCTATTCCAAACCAATGGTGAACATGAGCTACATCATCCAGAGGGAACAAATTGCGTATGGACCTATTGCTGGTCACCGACTATCATGGGACTGCATCTCCTGATATTACTATCAGCTTTGTGGATTTGACTTTTGGGTCAAAGATTCGAGTAGTGATCCCCTAATAAAACTAACTGCTTCGGTTTGTGTAGCGCATAAATATTTACGTGCCAATTTTTATATGTTCATGTAAATAAATAAAAAATGGCATACTTGGAATGAAGTTGGTATACATTGAATCTGTAAATTTTCCCTCCTCACTTTTTCCGCTAAAAAATACATTTTCAAATTAGGTCTAAATAACTGATATTGAATAAAAAAAATTACCAATATATTCTACAGCATATTTGATTGTTGTGCCACTTCCAAGTCCAATAATCTGATTATCCTAATAGTAGAAAGATTTTACAAAAGTTTAGGTAAACTACTTTAAGCCAGTCAGAAACAGCTGATTGACAAGCTATCTGTTTCGCTGATTCTAAAGGATCTGAATTATCCATCGCTAAAGTTTATTGTTCCAAGTATTACGGGCTAAAATTATTAAAGGAAAAAAATGAATCTAACAAACCTCAGTAAACATGAGAAATAAAACGTTATTGATATGAAAATAAAACTGTTATAATTATACAACAACAATGTTAGTATTCATTATCATAACACAACTATTCAAAATGTGTTATTTGCAAACGAATTAGAAATGTTAAATTATAGAAACTTATATTTACTGATTACTTAGTATATCTTGAAGATCTATCATTTCATTATATTCACTCTTATAATTTCTATAGGAACTTAAATAGTCATTAACTTGTTCATGATGTTATGTGCATCAATTAAGTTTCAAGGTAGTTGATTATAATAGCGCCACCTGTTTTTAGTAGACGACAAAATGTCTTCAAAGATATTATTGAATTTGTTAACAACGAAATTTTATTAATAAATTATATTCATGATTTGTCTATAAAAAGACAAGCGTTAACATTTTAGAGTGGCTTTAATCACTCTAGTCTGGAAGTGTCAATATCAACGTTGGAACTTAACTCATAAATTATCAATTTACATACCTACAAGCACGTGAGCAGACAAATTAAAAGGAAAATCGTTTCGTTGTCGTTCCTTACCGAGAATGACAAACACTGATTCGTGAGGGTGAAATGTTACCAAATACGAAAACCACAACAATACAACATAACTTATGTAAAGATTAAGTGGCTAATTCATACAACTTTACCCGTTTATTAACATAGATAAAAAAGGAATATATATCTTAGGGGAATAACATGAATTCATTTATTTTGTGTACTGTCTTCAGTTACTAACAAGCTAAAAGCATAACACCAATCATAAGGACGAAACACTCCAAACATCGGCTTAGTTATAGGCTAAATGCACGAATATTCTAGAGGAACATGGAAATAGAAATTTCCCTAGAAAATGAAGATTAATTACGTAACACAAACAGTATCTACTCAAAAAGGCGCAATTATAAAGTCGATTATCAAAACATAAACGTTAGTATTGTTTCGAACGCTGTCACGAACACCGATTACATGTTTTTGAATACGCTGTTTATGGTAACGTCTCAATCACTGGAATCGTTGAATAGTGTAATCAGAGGTTACAAAAAGAAAACATTCATCCATTTTGCGGTTCGTGATCCGCATTTCCATAAGAATTAGAAACCGTAAATAAAATTTTTATGTTGGAGAAATGGTTGCAGAAAAATCCACGGATCCTCACAGCATATTCACTAAAGGTAAGTTGATTATTGTTATCATATCTTTCCCTAAAGTTCTGCGATAAATACTCAATATCCGGCCCTTACTTATTGAAGGTTAATGGACTAATGTTCGTAAGAATGTGCATCACAAATATGAATGCAATCCCCTCAGGCACTTGTTATAATTCTCTCTTAGTAAACCCAGCTATTCCTGTTGCTTAGTATACTCTGACAACAATACACTCAAGCAACATGTTATTTGTGTAAATGCAGTTTTGAAGATAAGATCAAAATTTCTTATTTAGCATGACATTCACTCACTAGAACCATGGTAAACAAAGGTCAACATACAGTTGTTTTTGAACACAAAGTTGGACTTATCCGACGAGAAAGCACGAAATGGTACTATCTCACAAAATATGTCTTCGTATTTCTCTGTTCAAAGTTATCAAAGGGAACCACTGTTTTGAACAATACACTCGAAAAGTCCCAAATCAGAACACGGTGAAACAGGAAAAAGGTTATAATCCAAATAACAAGGTTAAGTGGAAGTAAGAAGCCGAGGAGAAGACGAAATAGGAACAACGTCAGTATCTCTACAGTTTTTACATTAGAAGCTTCTAGAGTATACTCCAAGTATCAACCAGCGCTGATTGGATAGGAGTTAGCCAGTCAGCGCGCTTCTAACGCAGTCATCCTTTAATCCATCTATGTTCCGCTAACAGCACTAAAATAATTTGTGGGTTCATGGGCTAACAGACGCGGAGTTAGAAACCGTTCGACCTCTACTGATTTCGGGGATGGAAGCCTTCAATGTTGTAGACTGTGTACCTACCGTATAGGAAGTGCCTGAATCCGCAAAATGTACTTGTGTGACACAAAGTATTCTCAGGCTAAATTTCCAGGCAAGCAATGTTCCTTTTTACATTATGACTGTCAAGTGATCATACCAAACTGCAGACTGATATCACGTTGCTTGGTAGCTAATGAAGAAGACGATCTCGTATTTTTCTTCTCAACCGCCGATCAGACAACTTTGGTCTTTCGTTTTCTTGATAGTGTGTTTTTATTACTCCACCTGTAGAACCTTCGGGGCTACTGGCGGTTCCAAGCCCGGATAAAGGAGGGTTGAGATTGAGGTTAGCGACCCCATGCCGGAAAAAACTAACTTGCCTAAAAAACGCTAACAAGAAAAAAATAATTCAAACCGTATAAATTCCGCCCTGGGAGTTAGAACGTCTTAATTTGGAAGAGATGACGTCTCGTTATGAAAGCCGAGTTTCTTTGGAAGTTATCGGACCGATGACTCTTCTGAAAATTAAAACCCTTTCACAGTGTGGGCAGCCGGGAAGTAATATCCGCCCTCATACCCATAAAAGCACATGAGACCAAATCGGTCACAATTAAATCGATTATACACCTCTTAATAACTTTCTCATCTCTTTGATCAACTCTTCCTTCGATTGTTTGTCACCTCACCCCACTGAAGCAAACGGTATGAGCTCACGAAACATTATTCCTGGTCTCTTGAAACCCTGTACTGAATTATATATTGGAGCTTCTAATGTTCGGACCCTATGCCAAAAGGGCAACATGCTTCATTAGCTAGAACTCTGGAATCACGGGCGATCGATGTATGTTGTGTCTCCGAAATGCGCATCCAAGATCCGAGTAAAATCATCAATTTGAGTTCACCTTATGCAGATGGAGAAACCACAAGGTTTACATCTCGTGTTTCTGTTAGCCCTGATGCTGCTTCCCATGTCCTCGCTGGCATAAGTATAGCACCGAGTCCTATGGCAGAACTAGCTCTCTTAGACTGGATCCCGGTAGACAGTTGCTTATGCGCTGTCCGACTAAACGGGACAGTAAAGACTCGGAAAGATAGGGATATTAGCCGGTGCCTCTTCGTCGTATCTACCTACGCTCGCACTGACTGCAGTTCAGACGACATAAAACATAAGTTTTATAGAAACCTCTCTAAACTTCTCTTAAAAGTTAGGCGCTCTGAAATAATAATAATAATAATAATAATCGCTGGTGACTTCAATGCTCAAGTAGATAAACTCAGTGGAAAGAAACCTAAATGGATCTTACGGTGTCGCGGCTCATCGAACAGATAATGGCGACTGTCTGCTGCAGCTATGCTCATATAACCGCCTATTCCTAGCAAACACTAACTTTAGGCATAAGGAAAAACATCTTTTGACCTGGCGACCCTCAAAGACGACCCAACGTTGGACCCAACTAGATCACATCGTTATAAGCCATCGGTGGAGAGGCTCTGTTGTAGACTGCCGCTCATTCTGGAGCACGTGTTTAGACTCAGACCATGCTCTAGCACGAGCGTGTATTTGTTTGCTCCTTACTGGACGCAAGAAAAACATCGCAAGGAAACCTGTTAGGGTTCTACTTAAGGATTATAAGGCTAAGAATATATTTCATGAGCAACTAGGCGGCCATGTCGTAAGTGGTGTCCACCCTGATGCAGCTTGAAATGATTTCGAACAGGCTGTGGAAACAGCAGGTTAGGGTGAAACCGTGGATTTCAGTCGCATCTACCGAACTGATGGATGCTCGAAAGTTCATCCCTTCTGGCTCTGAGTACGATGAGGAGCGGAGTCAGCTCAGGCGCAGGTTGATAAAAAGCCTTCGCAATGGTCGAGAACAGTGGTGGGTAGAGAAAGCAAGGGAGACGGAAAAGGCAAATATTCAGACTCATCAAGAAAACCGGCATTAGGATTGACTCTGTGGATCACGAGGTTCTGTGGCAGTGTCTGTCATTAAAAGGTGTACCAAAGGAGTACATCAACCTTATGCAAGCTCTACTCGAACACTACAGATCGAGTTGCAGCTTATGGCGAACTGTCATCGGAATTCTTTACTTTAAGTGATTTCTGTCAGGGATGTACACTTTCCCGATTCTTGTTTAGTTTTGTCATAGACATGCTGCTAGATATAACATTATCTTCGTCTGAATTTTCAGGAGTAGACCTTCTACCAGGAGGCTCGCTTATTGACCTAGAATATGCCGATGAGATAGTTCTATTCGGTGAAGACGCTGACAAAATGTAGTCTTCTGACCACTCTGAGCAACAATGCAAGCATGTTCGGGATGCAATTCCCTACACTCGAAATGCAAAATGTTGCTTCAAGATTGGGTTTCATCGGCACCTGAATTAGTGATGGGGAGTAAAGTAGTTGAGCATGTCGACCGCTTCACTTATCTGGGGAGTCTCATCAGTGCTGATGGCCTGGTGTGTGACGAAATCTCAGCACGTATACAGAAAGCTCGATTGGCTTTTGCCAATCTGCGTCGCTTATGGAGTAGGCGAGATATACATTTGCCAACTAAATGACGAAACATGGACAGTCAGAGTAGAAGATATTCGTGTGTTGCTTGTTTTCGATCATAGATGTCTTTAAAGCATTGCTCGTGTATCATGGGAAAACCGAGTAAACAATTTTGTAGTTAGGAGACGAGTACTAGGTAGGGATGGCAGATCAATTGATGAACTATTGACACTTCATCAGTTGAGGTGGTTGGGACATGTGTTGTGTATGCCTGACCACCGACTGCCTCGTCGAGCTATGTTTTGCGATATAGGAATAGGCTGAAAGAAAGCCAGGGGCGGCCAAACCAAAACATGTTACAATCGCTTGAAATGACTGAATAGTGGATTGAACCATGTAAGTAGGTGCAGACTACCAGTTTGGGGTACGCGAGATGATAATAATCAATGTTTAGAGACTCTGAATGACGTGGCTCGAAATCGTTTG